CCTCGCAGAGGCCCCTGAGCCCATGCTCTGTCCCAGGTCAGGGTCCCCAGTCAGACCTGCGTTGTCCCTTTCCCTCAGGGACTCAAGCAGCGCCTTCATTTGTTCCAGCTCAGAGGTGAGATGGGCCACCTGTCCAGATAAGTCTCTCTGAGCCCCTGGAGCTTTTCTTGGTCCTCTTTTGTGGAGGCCCCAAGGCCTCTGGGGCCACATCTTTACAGGCTGGCTCGCAATCTCATAACCAGCCAAACGAGCTGCCCGCAGGGACAAGGGCAGAATGGAACAGTTGGGGCAGGCCGCTTCCGTCAAGGCCTCCCTCAGATAACCCGACCCGAAACAAGGGGGGCACAGATCATGTCCATCCAACTGGAGGGGGGCCAAACAGGCTCTGCAGCACTGCACATCCAGCATCTTACAGCTTACAAGACTAGAAGCATCAGGTCGAGCAGGAAATGCCACTCTTGACGCTGGAGTCGAACGAATGGACCAGGGAACCAGGTCGATCAGAAAAAATGCAAGCGCCAACACGGCTGCACTATAATGAAAAAAGGCAAGCCGAACACAGTCGCACAACTCAAGGAAATGCAAGCACAAAAAATGGCTCCAGTGTAACAAATGAAGTCAAGCCGAACATGGCTGTAACTATGTAAATGAAAAGTAAGCACGAACGCGGCTGCAATGCTTTCTGTAAACTACAGAAAAATGGCTAAACACCGTACTTCCAGCCAATAAGGAAACCCGATGCGGCTAGCGAACGCAATACTGCCGGATCAACAGAAACAAAACAACTTACCAGTTGAAGTACAATCGTTTAGAGGATACCAGCTTGCGCAGCCTCTGGTGGGCGAGACAGTCCCGCAGCTCCGACAATAGTCTCGAGGCTACCAGCGTTAAGCAGAAAAAGTAAACCTCTTACCACCTGCATGCGAGAAGATGAAAGGGCTGGGCTACCGTTGTCACGTGCTTATATAGACTCACTGGTGTCCCGGGGGTCACATGTGACTATGTTGGCATAAAATACTCGACCTGCGCATGCGCAAGAATGATCATTCAGTGCTTTAAGCACTGCCTCTGGCGGTCAGTAGGGATGAAATAGAACTTTACTTCAAAGAGAAATCTCTTACGAAACTATGACTTTTGAACATCATGTCTGCGTATGTTTTTAAAAACCAAAACTTCAGATTCCGTATAGAACAGATAGTTACGAAGCTGAGCAGTAAACCAGTAACACTAAAGTCTGAAACACTGGAGGGTGTCTACATGAGCACTACAACATCTACGCGTTTTACCAGACAAGAGACAGGAATTACCTCACACAGCCGTCACTGTAAGAACACAGAGCGGTGATGTTTGAGTCAGACAGTGTGACAGGAGAAGGGCTTGGTTTAGATTGTTCAGGTACCTCTCTCTGCGCATCTTGTCCAGCTTGTCTTTGAGCACCAGGATTTCCTTCTGCAGGGCGAGCTGCTGGCTCTCGGCGTCTCGCAGCTCTTTACGCAGGGCCTTTAGCTCGGCGATATGCTGCGCCTCTCTGCGCGCCAGCTCCTCCTCGAATACCAGCGTCGTCTTCTCCATTTCTGCACGCAGATGGCCTACCTCCTGGGTCTGGTCTGCAGGCGCTGGTGCGCCGGAGGAGCCGGCCTGCTTCACCTGAATGAGAGACGAGGGCATGATGACTCGTGTCAGTCTGAACATGAAGTGTGGAGACTGTTGACTGTCATGACATCTGTAATCACCTTCAGGCCTTCCAGTTCCTCCTCCAGCTGCCTGCTGTACTGTTCATTACGTTCTCTGAGTTTCTTCTCCTTCTGAGCTTCTGCTGCCTGCTCCTCCGACTGCACCTCCACCTGCAACACAAACTCCTGTTACAGGACAGCACTCCTACCTTATCATCTGTAAAACAGAGTGGCAGCTGTTCACTCGTGTGATAAAACACTTTCACTGTCAGTAGACATTAGACTGATGGAAACTGTTTCATCTCATTTGGTGTCGTCAGCTCCAAAACCTCTGAGTGGACAGAGAACACAAACAAACTCAAGGTCAGTTTCTTTGTCACCCGCCAACAAAAGGTAAAAGTTTCCCTCATGTCTAGGAGTTCATGAGCATGTGCATGTGTTTGTCTGTTAGAAAACTATCCCATGAACTTGTGGGAGGATTTAATGAACCTCACAGGAAAAAAAATCATAGAATGATTAACTTTTGGAACAAACCAATAACAAAATAGCTTCTTAGCCAGCTGAGGTCAGAACACAGAAAATGGCTGTAATTCTGTGCAGTTTTACAGATGTGAAGCTATAATTTGCTGTGGGAGCCGAGAGCTTAACATCCATATCTCTATACCTAAAGGTCAGCCATGAAAGCCAACGAGTGATATGTTCATTCAAGGAATACAAGACCTTAAAGTTATCGATGAACTGATTCCTGTGTTGTGCGATGGCCTTAAGCTTTGGTTGGTCATCTTTAAACCCACAGACGGGCGAAAAACAGGAGGAAAATGTTGAAAAATGGAAAACACAATTTCTGCTCGATTGTGACAATATGAAAATTTACTTTTTTTTCTATGATGGTTAATGAACCCTAAGTCTAAAAGGATTAAACAAAGTTCAGTCAGGTCCTCTGGACGGTTTCTTTTTGTTCAAATGTTTCATCTTTCATCCAAAGGACTTCATCAGTCTGAACTTTGTTGGATTATTCACCTGGATTATAGTGCATGAACTTTGATGTTTTGAACCACTTTGGCCTTGGCTGCCCCAGAGGAGTCCACGGGGGGACAGGGCAGACTCCAGAAACAATCTGAGCACCATCAAACTGGTTGACCCACTATGTGAAGGTACTATTTATAAGACTGAGTTTGTTGCGGCTCCTCGGACTGATGAAGTCCTTTGGATGAAAAACGAAACGTTTTAACAAAAATAAATAGTCCAGAGGACCTGACTGAACTTTGTTGGATTTTTTTCCTAAATTATTGAGCATGAAACAAGATATCTACTAGGATTAATTTAAAAACATTCAGAATGTTTTTGAACAAGACAGCAGCACTGATTTCATGAAGTATATTCTAAGGATATCTATGAAGGAAACCAACGTGGACAGAAACTGGAGCAGCTAGCACCCACAGGGAGGCTACTCTACCTCTTTTTTGGCCCTCTCAGCCTTCCGCACCTCAAGGCGAAGAGCCTCCACCTTCTGATTCTGGCTCTCCATCTCCTCTTCTCTGTCCCTCAGCTGACGAGTGAGGCGCTGCTTCACAGACCTGAGAGGAACGTGGAGCCAAACAGTGCTGTCTTTAGATGACCACATCAACACATGTCAGTATGATACTCTGTCAGATCTTAAAACAAGCTTCTCTGTGAAGTTCATGAAGTAAAATCACTTAAAATGTCCTTTATGGAGTTATATCTGCAGATGACACTGTGCTCTGTAGTAAGAGGGAGCAGGAGGAAGAGAGTCTGGAGAGGTGCAGATATGGAAGAAGATGCACTCCAAGATCAATCAAAACACCAATAAACCCACAGAGTTGGATAGTTTTGAGTCAAATGAGAGAAATTAAGTAAAGTCAGGGTTCTACCGGAGTTCTGTTAGTCTCTCGTTGAGCTCAGAAAACTCCTGCATGGCCAGCTTTCTTTGACTGTGAGCTTCCTTCAGCTCTTTTGACTGAAACTTTAGCTTCTCGCTGGCATCTAAGAAGCCCTGTTGTGAGCAGAGGCAGAACAATGAATCCTTTAAGATCACTTGAACTCCCATTGAAGGCTTGTAGATGAAATAGAAAGCAGGGTTGTACCTTCTGGAGGTCGTCTCTCTCCTGTGTAAGGCTCTTCATCTGTTTCTCCAGAGTCTTGATGTGTTTAGATGAGTCCTCCAGGTCCCTGCAAACCGATGTCACGTCCTCCAGCTGCTTCTCCAGCTGGCCTGAGTCTGACATACACAAACACACACAGCAGGCTCTTCATTTCAGTATTGACATGAAAGAAAGTTATTTTGTTTAAAAATTTGTTGTTCAAAGGGTCCTAACCAGCAATCTGCTTCTTGAGGAGGTCAATCTCGCTCTTTAGACTCCTGATCTCCACTTCCTTGTTGGAGTTGAGCGGTCCCTCGCCTGTCGGGTGCTGCAGCGCCTGCACCGTCTGAGTGGACTCTGTAACCAATGACATCATCAGTTAGACACACTTTGATAAAAACAAACAATATTTTATGTTTTTGAAGTTTGAGAAGCCCAGGTGAGCAACACTTGTTGGTCATCTGAGAAACATCAACAATAAACATGGCCATTTGTCTCTCAGGCAACTCGACACTAGTACTGGACAATAATTCGATATTGATATATATCACAATATAATTTTATTCAATAATGGTTATATGAATTTTAAGCACATTTTCGATATTTCGATATGATTACAGCGTTTCAATGACGCATTTCTTTCTCTGTTCGGGTTGAAGCGACTGCTTCAGTTTCATCCAGGACAAAAAAAGCCGCGACACAACTACGTAAGTGCGTGGTGACGTACACGGCACACAGAGCTCAAAGGCGTTAGTGGTAGCAGGCTAGGCTCCAACACGTGGTAAGTTTTACCTTCAAAATGAGTGTCCATGACCGCAAGAATGTGACTGAACAAGCTTTCACAAGCGAAGAGAAAGCAGATGACAATTGATAAGAGAGGAAAGACTAATTCGGCAGTGTGGAAGTGGTTCGGCTATCCAAGATCCAATAAACTGCAGGTTTCAGTGCTGCAAAATGTGATGGGAGAGTCGTTCTAACTAGTGGTGGGAACACATCTAACTTGTTTCATCTGAAGAGTTTCCACTCAATAGAATATGTTGAGAGTCAGAAGATGAAGCACAATAAAAGTTTGAGCCAACGTGTCCCTGAAACAACACCCCCAGCTGTATCAAAAGAGAAGGTTAGGTTATGTTGTTGTTTAAAGTTAAAACTATTAATATTGACAAAGTTGACAGTTTTATGTTTATTTGACGATTTCAAATTTCTTTGAAGGCTAAATACAAATAAAAGGTGGACATTAATTTATTTGTAGCTTGTACAGTTTTTCTGAGGCTTTTATATTGTTTATATTGATATCAAATTATATCGTTATCGACTGAAATCAGGAAATATATTGTGATATAAGTTTTGGCCATATTGTCCAGCCCTACTCGACACATGTATGTATATATGGACACCCTCACCTTGCAGTTTGCGACTCAGCTCCAATTTCTCCTGCTCCAGACGGCGGATCCTCCTCTCATAGGCTTCCGTGGCCAGGCTGTCCTCAAGGCTGCGCTGGACGTCCAGGTCCACCTGGTCCTGGCCCACTTTACCCGGTTCCACTGTGAGCTGACGCAGGCAACCTCGGTCTGACAGGAAACTACATAAACAGGAAAACAAAAAAGAAATGTTAAGCGCCAAAAAAAAAAAGAACATGAAGAGTGCAAGAACTGTAGATATGAAGGCCGGGATTAGAAACGATTGGTATTATAGATAAAGGTAAGTAGTTAGTAAGTAGTGATGATATTTATAGAAGATAACAACTGGTGGAGCTTTTTGTTGTAAAATAATATGAAAGAAAGAAACTTAAAGGAAATGACCGAAACAGCAGAAGGAAAACAGGAACTAGAGATAAAGTTGAAAGATGAGAAGAAAGGGAGGCAGAACGGGACAAAGAAAACACCATTATCACAGAGCCTCGCACAGATTAGAAAGAAACGAGTTGTTTCTCACAAACAGGATTTCAGTGGAAGTGGCCTTGTCAGGAAGAGACGTTACTTAAACACAACAGAGCAATTTTACATGAAACTGAACAGAATGGGCTCAGAAATGAAGCACCTTCATGGAGTGTTAGTTTAATATCCATTTTTAAACATCCTACCTTTCACTTCTACTGACAGAAAAAAAATTCTGAAAGTTTACTGCCTTCAGTTTTTAAATTGCAGTCAAGATGACAAGTGCACAAAAACACTTTTCAATACCAACACCAAGACCCCTTATGATGAGTACAATCAATGAAAACAATGTTCCCTCGCCCGGACGTGGGTCACCAGGGCCCCACTCTGGAGCCGGGCCTGGAGGTGGGGCACAATGGCAACCGCCTGGTGGCCAGGCTTTTACCAATGGAGACCGGACAGGCACAGCTCGAAGAGGAGACGTGGGTCCCCCTTCCCATGGGCTCACCACCTGTGGGAGGGGCCAAAAGGGTCGTGTGCAATGTGGGATGGGTGATGGCCGACGGCGGGGACATTGACAGTCTGATCCTCGGCTACAGAAGCTGGCTACTGGGACGTGGAATATCACCGCTCTCGTGGGGAAGGAGCCTGAGCTGGTGTGTGAGGTTGCGAGGTTCCGGCTAGAAATAGTCGGACTCACCTCGACACATGCCGCTGGAAACAGTTTCCTTGAGCGGGGTTGGACACTCTTCCACTCTGAAGTTGTCCTTGGTGAAAGGCGCCGAGCAGGAGTGGGCATACTTGTTGCCCCCCCTCCCAACCATTGGTGTCTGTATGTTGGTTTTCACCCCGGTGAATGAGAGGGTAGCCTTCCTCCGCCTACGTGTGCGGGGGAAGGGTTCCAACTGTTGTTTGTGCTTGTGCGCCAAATGGCAGTTCAGATTACCCACACTTTTGGAGTCCTTGGAGGGGGTACTGGAGAGTGTGCCTCCTGGGGACTCCCTTGTTCTGCTAGGGGACTTAAACGCTCACGTGACAGTGAGACCTGGAGGGGTGTGGTTGGGAGGAACGGCTCCCCTGATCTGAACCCAAGTAGTGTTCTGTTTCTGGACTTCTGTGCTCATCATGGATTGTCCATAACAAACACCATGTTCAAGCATAAGGGTGTCCATATGTGCTCTTGGCACCAGGACACCCTAGGCCACAGTTTGATAATCGATTTTGTTGTTGTCTCATCTGATCTGCGGGTGCATGTCTTGGATACTCGGGTGAAGAGAGGGGCGGAGCTGTCCACTGACCACTACCAGGTGGTGAGTTGGTTCTGATGGTGGGGGAGGATGCCGGTCAGACCTGGCAGGCCCATATGTATTGTGAGGGTATGCTGGAAACATCTGGCAGAGTCTCCCGTGAGACGGAACTTTAACTCTCACCTCTGGAAGAGCTTTGAACACGTTCCGGGGAGGTGGGGGACATTGAATCCGAGTGGACCATGTTCCACACCTCTATTGTTGAGGCAGCTTATTGGAGCTTTGGCCACAAGGTTGTTGGTGCCTGTCGCAGTGGTAAACCTTGAACCCGGTGGTGGACACCAGCAGTGTGGGACGCTGTCAGGCTGAAGAAGGAGTCCTATCGGGCCTTTTTGGCCTGTGGGACCCCGGAAGCAGCTGATGGGTACCGGCAGTCCAAGCAACATGTGGCTTGGGTGGTCGCTGAGGCAAAAACTCGGGCGTGGGAGGAGTTCGGAGAGGCCATGGAAAATGACTTCTGTACGACTTAGAGGCAATTCTGGTCCACCATCCGGCGTCTCAGGGGGGAGCAGTACACCACCAACACTGTTTATAGTGGGGGTGGTGTGCTACTGACTTCAACTAGGGAGGTTGTGGGTCAGTGGGCAGAATACTTCAAAGACCTCCTCAATCTCACCGGCACGTCTTTCACTGAAGAAGCACAGCCTGGGGACTTTGGGTCGGGCTCTCCAATCTCTAGTGCTGAGGTCACTGAGGTGGTTAAAAAGCACTTTGGTGGCAGGGCCCCAGGGGTGGATGAGATTTGCCCGGAATTCCTTAAGGCTCTGGATGTTGTGGGGTTGTGTTGGCTTACACAACTCTACAATATTGCGTGGACATCAGGGGCAGTTCCCCATGATTGGCAGACCGGGGTGGTGGTCCCCCTACTAAACAAGGGGGACTGTAGAGTGTGTTCCAACTACAGGGGGATCACGCACTTTAGCCTCCCTGGTATGGTCCATTCAGAAGTTCTGGAGAGGTGGGTCCCTCGGATAGTCAAACCTCGGATTCAGGAGGAACAGTGCGGTTTTCGTCCTGGTCTTGGAACACTGGACCAGCTCTACACCCTCAGCAGGATCCTTGAAGGTGCGTGGGAGTTTGCCCAACCAGTCTACATGTGCTTTGTGGACTTGGGGAAGGCGTTCAACCGCATCCATCTTCTTGCAGGGGGTACTCTGTGAGTATGGGGTACCAGGCCATTTGATATGGGCTGTTAGGTCTCTGTATGACTGGTGTCAGAGCCTGGTCCGCATCGTCGGCAGTAAGTCGGGCTCATTCCCGGTGAGAGTTGGACTCTGCCAAGGTTGCCCTTTGTCACTTGATTATGTTCATAACTTTTATGGACAGAATTGCTAGGTGCAGCCAAGGTGTTGAAGATATCCGTTTTGGTGGCCTTAGGATCGCTTCTCTGTTTTTTGAAGATGATGTGGTCCTATTGGCTTCATCAGGTCGTGATCTACAGCTTTCACTGGAGCGGTTCGCAGCAGAGTGTGACGCGGCTGGGATGAGGAACAGTTCCTCCAAATCCAAGGCCATGGTCTTGAGCCGGAAAAGGGTAGAGTGCCCTCTCCAGGTCGGTGAGGAGGTCCTGCCTCAAGTGGAGTAGTTTAAGCATCTTGGGGTCTTGTTCACGAATGATGGAAAAATGGAGCGTGAGATCGATAGGCCAATAGGTGCAGCGTTGGCAGTGAAGCGAGCGCTGTACCGGTCTGTCATGGTGAAGAGAGAGCCGAGTCAAAAGGTGAAGCTCTCAATTTACCAATCAATCAACATTCCTACCCTCATCTATGGTTAGAATGCCTCCTGGACACCTCCCTGGTGAGGTGTTCTGGGCACGTCACACCGGGAGAAGAACCAGAGGAAGACCAAGGACATGCTGGAGGGACTATGTTTCTCGGCTGGCCTGGGAACGTCTTGGGATTCTCCGGAGGAGCTGCCCCAAGTGGCTGGGGAGAGGGAAGTATGGGCCTCCCTACATAGGCTGCTAACCAGCGACCTGACCCCGGATGAGAGGAAGAAAATGGATGGATGGACAAACACCAAGTCCAAATTAATGTGTTTCCATGGCAACACTTACCATTTACTTGTGTAGGTGAAGCCCACAAAGGGCAGGTGATGACCAGAGAAGGCTGTGTGAGAGGGAGGGGGCATGGTCTCCTGAAAATCATTAAACAAGCACACAAAGTTTGGAGACTTTAGGAACAAAAACTTTACATTAAACACATTTCTTTTTAGAACACATGTCAGAAGTTCAACACCAACAATTAAATGTTGTTGCATGGAGCTGGTCCATGCTGAGTCCTGAATGTAAACATGAAGATTTTTAAATGAAATCATGGGTAACCAGTGGAGACACTGAAACTGGAGTCATGTCAGGTCTCTGTTTGGTGTGTCAGTAGACACTGGTCAAAAATCACATCCCCATGCCCTTCAAACTGAAGGGCATGGGGATGTGATTTTGTGTCTATAAGTGGAGCCATGTTATTAGGGGAGAAGATGAGGTATTCTCAGGGTTACCAGGTCTACAAGAAAAGTCAATTCCCTGTCTTTTCCCTGTGTAAATCCTAAAATTCCAGGAAGTATTTCAGTCACCAAAACACTCAGAACCAGAGTATTATACTGTTGCCTACATGCATACAGCAAACATTTCTAAAAACTACTTGTATTATTTAACATCAGATACTAAATAGCTACCATAGCCAGTCAGTAAAGAATACATGTACTACATGTACACGTCAAAATCTCAAAAAGATCAACTTTTAATCACCAAATTATTGTTCAGTCCCTAAATTTTCCTCTGATGTTTAAGTTTTTCTGAAATTTTCCAAACTTTCCGGTCTGGAAAATGAGAAAATAATTTTTCAGATTTTCCTTGCATTCTAGAGTGACTGGGAAGTGATCCCCCAAACCTGATGGACAAACTACTAACACTAGGACTAAGCCCCTCCATTTGCAACTGGGTACTAGACTTCTTAACAAACAGACTTCAGTCTGTAAGGATCCACAACTTCTCCACTTCCACCATAACCCTCAGCACTGGCTCTCCCCAGGGATGTGTGCTGAGCCCTCTCCTGTTCACTCTGCTCACATATGATTGTGCAGCTACCCATCCAGGCTGTTATATTGTAAAGTTTGAAGATGATGCAGCGGTGGTGGGATGCATCACAAACAATGATGAGTCCAGCTACAGGCAGGAGGTGGAACACCTGAAGAGCTGGTGCAAAGAGAATAACCTTCACATCAATGTGAAGAAGACAAAGGAGATGATTGTGGACTTCAGAAGGAACAAACACACCTACAGCCCCCTGAACATAAGAGGCTCAGCAATGGAAGTGGTTTCCAGCTACAAGTACTTGGGTGTACACCTGAATGACAACCTCAGCTGGGGCAACAACACCACCAGCCTGATCAAGAAAGCTCATAAGATACTCTACTTCCTCAGGTAGCTGAAATGAGCTGATCTGGGAAGCTCAGTCCTCACCTCCTTCTACAGATATACAGTGAAGAGCATCCTGTGCTCCATCATCAATGTGTGGCAGGGAGGCTGCACAGCTGCAGAAAGAAAAGCTTTGCAGAGTGTGGTGAAGGCTGCACAGATGTCTGTTGGAGTCAGCCTCCCCACCATCACAGACATCTAAACCTCCAGATGCAGGAAGAGGGTCACCTACACCATGAAGGACCCCACTCACCCAGCATACACACTTTTTGCCCCACTCCCCTCAGGAAGGGGGTTAAGGAGCATCAAGCGTAGAACCACTAGACTGAGGAACAGCTTTTACCCTGAAGCTGTTAGACTCATGAATATCTAACCAGGATAATCACTGTGAAAAATCACATCATGTTGCTGCTGATCTGCTTCATGTTGCTGTGTTCATTCGTGCTCATCTGCTCACACAGACTCATGTTCGTGCTGCTGTTTGACGTAATGTTTTTATGCTACTAGTGCTTAGTGTATATTTAGTTGATGTTTTTCTTAGTTCATATCTTAAATCTTATTACTGTTTTTAATTTTTTCATTAGTGGATGTAACTGGGACCCTGTGTACATAATTTTGTTCCACCATATGTACCACATGAGGTGCAAATGGCAAATAAAGAACCTTGAATCCTTGAATTCTGATTCTGTATTTTCACAGTTTCACTACAAGAAGTTGGTTTTTAACCAGTATTTATTATCTATCAAGCACAGAAATAACTCTGAATGTCATCTACATAAATGTGATGACCCCTCCCTGGGCTGCCACCTTACCGTGGTGGAGGGGTTTGAGTGTCCCAATGATCCTAGGAGCTATGCTGTCAGGGGCTTCACGCTCCTAGTAGGGTCACCCATGGCAGACAGGTCCTAGGTGAGGGACCAGACAAAGTGCAGCTCAAAGACCCCGATGATGAGAAAAACAAATGGACTTAATGTTCCCTTGCCTGGACGTGGGTCACCGGGGCCCCACTCTGGAGCCAGGCCTGGAGGTGGGGCACACTGGCAAGCGCCTGGTGGCCGGGCTTTTACCCTTTGAGCTATGCCGGGCACAGCCCGAAGAGGAGACGTGGGTCCCCCTTCCCATGGGCTCAACACCTGTGGGAGGGGCCAAAGGAGTCGGGTGCAATGTGGGATGGGTGGTGGCCAAGGGCGGGGACCCTGGCAGTCTAATCCTCGGCTACAGAAGCTGGCTATTGGGACGTGGAATGTCACCTCGCTGGTGGGGAAGGAGCCTGAGCTGGTGTGTGAGGCTGAGAGGTTCCTGCTAGAAATAGTCGGACTCACCTCTACGCATGGCTCTGGAACCAGTTTCCTTGAGAGGGGCTGGACACTCTTCCACTCTGGAGTTGCCCCTGGTGAGAGGTGCCGAGCAGGAGTGGGCATACTTATGAGCTACCAACTTGGTGCCTGTGTGTTGGGGTTCACCCCGGTGAATGAGAGGGTGGCCTCCCTCCGCCTACGTGTGGGGGGACGGGTTCTGACTGTCGTTTGTGCTTATGCACCAAACGGCAGTTCAGATTATCCACCCTTTTTGGAGTCCTTGGGGGGGGGGGTTCTGGACATACGGGACATTGAGTCTGAGTGGACCATGTTTCGTGCCTCTATTGTCGAGGCAGCTTACCAGAGCTGCGGCTGCAAGGTTGTCGGTGCCTGTTGCGGTGGCAACCCTCAAACCCGATGGTGGACAGCGGCGGTGAGGGATGCTGTCAGGCTGAAGAAGGAGTCCTATCAGGCCTTTTTGGCCTGTGGGACCCCGGAAGCAGCTGATGGGTACGGGCAGTCCAAGCGACATGCGGCTCGAGTGGTCGCTGAGGCAAAAACTCGGGCATGGGAGGAGTTCGGAGAGGCCATGGAGAATGACTTCCACACGGCTTCGAGGCAATTCTGGTCCACCATCCGGCGTCTCGGGGGGGGGAAGCGGTACGCCACCAACACTGTTTATAGTGAGAGTGGTGTGCTACTGACCTCAACTCGGGATGTTGTGGGTCAGTGGGCAGAATACTTTGAAGACCTCCTCAATCCCACCGGCATATCTTCCACTGAGGAAGCGGAGCCTGGGGACTCTGGGTCGGTCCCTCCAATCTCTGGTGCTGAGGTCACCGAGGTGGTTAAAAAGCTCCACGGTGGCAGGGCCCCAGGGGTGGATGAGCTTTGCCCGGAGTTCCTTAAGGCTCTGGATGTTGTAGGGTTGTGTTGGCTTACACAACTCTGCAATATTGGGTGGACATCGGGGGAAGTTCCCCTGGATTGGCAGACTGGGGTGGTGGTCCCCCTATTCAAAAAGGGGGACCATAGAGTGTGTTCCAACTACAGGGGAATCACGCTCTTAAGCCTCCCTGGTAAGGTCTATTGGGGGTTCTAGAGAGGAGGGTCCGTCGGATAGTCGAACCTCGGATTCAGGAGGAGCAGTGTGGTTTTCGTCCAGGCCGTGGAACACTGGACCAGCTCTACACTCTCAGCAGAGTCCTGGAAGGTGCGTGTGAGTTTGCCCAACTGGCAATGTGCAATACATGTGCTTTGTGGACTTGGAGAAAGCGTTCAGCCGCATCCCTTGGGGAACCCTGTGGGGGGTACTCTGGGAGTATGGGGTACCGGGCCCTTTGATACGGGCTGTTAGGTCCCTGTATGACCGGTGTCAGAGCCTGGTCCGCATCGTCGACAGTAAGTCGGGTTTGTTCCCAGTGAGAGTTGGACTCCGCCAAGGTTGACCTTTGTCACGATTCTGTTCATAACTTTTATGGACAGAATTTCTAAGTGCAGCCAAGGTGTTGAGGGGATCCGTTTTGGTGGCCTTAGGATTGCGTCTCTGCTTTTTGCAGATGATGTGGTCTTATTGGCTTGATCAGATCGTGATCTACAGCTTTCGCTGGAGCAGTTCGCAGCCAAGTGCGACACAGCCAGGATGAAGATCAGTTCCTCCAAATCCGAGGCCATGGTCTTGAGCCGGAAAAGGGTAGAGTGCCCTCTCCGAGTCAGGGAGGAGGTCCTACCCCAAGTGGAGGAGTTCAAGCATCTTGGGGTCTTGTTCACAAATTAGGGAAAAATGGAGTGTGAGATCGATAGGCGGAAAGGTGCAGCGTCTGCAGTGAAGCAGGCGCTGTACAGGTCTGTCATGGTGAAGAGAGAGCTGAGTCAAAAGGCGAAGCTCTCAATTTACCGATCGATCTACGTTCCTACCCTCATCTATGGTCACGAGCTTTGGGTTGTGACCGAAAGAATGAGATCTCGGATACAAGCTGCCGAAATGAGTTTTCTCCGCAGGATGTCTGGGCTCTCCCTTAGAGATAGGGTGAGAAGCTCGATCATCCGGGAGGGACTCAGAGTAGAGCCGCTGCTTCTCCACGTTGAGGAGCCAGTTGAGGTGGCTTGGGCATCTGTTTAGTATGCCTCCTGGACGCCTCCCTGGTGAGGTGTTCCTGACACGTCCCACCGGGAGGAGGCCCAGAGGAAGACCGAGGACACGCTGCAGGGACTATGTTTCTCGGCTGGCCTGGGAACGCCTCGGGATTCCCCCGGAAGAGCTGGCCCAAGTGGCTGGGGAGAGGGAAGTCTGGGCCTCCCTACTTAGGCTGCTACCCCCGCGACCCGACCCCGGATAAGCAGAAGAAAATGGATGGATGGATAAATGTGGTGATGCACATCACTTACTTTATTAATAGGACTTAACATAACATAATACTTCCAAGAAATATTATAAAATGCAAAAACAGAAGTGGTGCAAAAACAGAACCCTGTGGTACCCCACATGACAGTTTGATAGTATCAGACATGAACCGGTCTAAAAGGCACTGAATCTCTTCTCAGAAAAGTAAGATTTGAACCACTTTAGAACATTCCCATCAGATCATGAGGTGCTGTGATCAGCCATGTCAGTGGCTAAAAAAGGTCCAACTCCAGGTCCAAAAACGCTTCAGAATCCACAGCCATCATAACAACGATGAAGATTAAAATCATCGCATTCACTTTTCAAAAACCAGACAGAATGTTTTTTAAAAGATGTGTCGTTCAAAAACTGAAAGAAGTTTCTCAATTTTCTAAAGTTATTTAACTAACAGGTAGTTAACAAATATGCACATGATTTTTTTGGCTGAGACGGATCCAAACCGTCTCTTTAAGAACAAGTTCAACAACGACATGTTTGAGAGCACAGCCAGTTTGAAGGGACAGAGTTCAGATTTCCACAGTGCAGAGATCCTTTAATGAGTTCTTTAGATTAACAAACATTTTACTGAGTTCTTTAGATTAATAAACACTTCACCAAGTTCTTTAGATTAACAAACACTTCACAGAGTTCTTTAGATTAACAAACACTTTACCGAGTTCTTTAGACAGTCATCGTCTACATCAAAGTTGGAGGTATCTGTGGGACTGCTGACTTCTGGGATGTAGGGCGCCTCACATGTCAGAATGTTTTCCCAATCAATGCCTGAAAACAAGAAGAATACACGTTGTTCTAATTACTCGTAATAAAACAGTAGAATAGCATTTCTGTAAATTCACGTGGACTGTTTTTTAGCATTGTTGGGTTCAGTAGCACATCTCAAAATATATTTGTATAAAATAAATAAACCACACAGTGTTATTAAGCAGGCAAAACAGAAAAATGTGATTAAGAGTCCCAATAAATTATGTTCAAATAAACCAATTATGATATTATAAAGGGTCAAAACTGTAATCCATCGAACTGTAGATAAAGTTGTTAAACAGTGTAAATGTTCGTCTTCGAGATCAGACTCCGATCTGAAACAAACACCAAGACTTGGCCTGTACCAGCAAAGAACGGGTGCTGCTTGAAGTCTTCAATGCCGTTTTGGCCCAGTCTGTGCTCCCGGCTACAAATGAGCCGGCGAATCAGATCTTTGGCTTCCTCTGACACGTCTGTTATCTGTTGAGGGAACTGGAATCGTTCCTGAGTGAAGGGAACCAGAACGGCGGTTACTTCTGCTTTTTGTGTCAAAGCTACGTCCTCACACTCCCTCAGCTCACCTTGTGGTTCATGATCTTCCCATAAGTTTCTACCAAAGACTCTGCGTAGAAGGGAGTTTCTCCATACAGCATTTCATACATGCAGACGCCCAGGGACCACCAGTCGCACTCAGGTCCATACTTGCCCTTCCCGTCTTCCATAGCCTGGAGGATCTCGGGGGAAATATAGTCAGGAGTTCCCACCGCCACAGAGGACTGGACCTGGTAGTGGAACACAACAAACACTAATGAACCCAAAAGACAAACTCTTTTCTCACATTCTCACAAGGAGTGTGTAGACTCAGCTGCATGCTGAGTGAAAGAGGTAGTGATGAACTGAAGGCTGAAATCTTGGAACCACATAAAATACACATGACCACAGGGAACACGCTGACGTTTAGAACCGCTGATATGAGATAAATTCTCCTCGTTAACTTGGGTTTCTTGGTCCGTTTTGATTTATTTCAAAGTAGTTTCAAAAACGCAGATTTAAGGCTTCACCCTGAATTACAGTCTTTGTTATAAAGTCAGTTTAATTCCATAAAATATACATTTTTGACATTGCTGTCCTGAATAAAGGCCAGAAACTGTAACAAATGGGGAGCAGAGCAGACGCTGGAATCTGCATCTTTAATCCTCTGTTCGAGGCTGGAGGTTCAAAAGTTGGTTTCTGGAATCAACTTAGACCTAATTTAATGTTTTTGAAAAAAACAAAAAACAAATCATAAGCATCTGATGACTTTCATTCTGTTCTTTGTCCTTTTTCTACCATCTGGAGAAGTGTCTGAACCATGAGCTGCAGCCTCAGCTGAACCACACGCTCCTCCTGGGAGAGCGCGGGAGGAGACAGAGCTTAGTAAAACTCTGGGATTGTTTGCTTTGGACTGAAGGGAGCAGAGCAGTGAGGAGAAAACTTACAGTCCCATCCTCCATGAGTCTGAGGCAGGAGCCGAAGTCAGCCAGGCGGATGTGGCCGTTCATATCCAGCAGAATGTTGTCGGGCTTAATGTCCCTGAAAGGAGGAGGAAGAAGAGATGGAAGTGAGTGGTGGAGGGGGTCCTGAGGAAGAGGAAAACATTCAAATATCCTCCAATCCAAACAACCAATGGGACACACACTCCTCATCTCCTGTTGCAGTCAACTTTGATCAGAAGTTCTTTTCAGATTTATTTCCATTAAATCAAGAAATCTGTTGTACATTTCTGTGGATTAAATTCAGCTCCGTGTGAGAATTCATCAAGTGTACAGCTCAGCTTTCAGCAGTGAGACAGCTTGAAATTGATGAATTGAAAAGAGTTGAGCCTGTGTTTTGGGAATTTGCAGCTTAGACGCACAAAATCACCGTTATCCAAAAGAAAAGTGCTGCTGGCAAACAGACTCCCATCCGCCAGACACAGACCTCATGTCCTAAAGCAGCTGCACTCCCTTGTTTGTCTTTGTCTGATAGATGTTTGTGATGAGGAGTGGTGGAGGTACTAACAACACATTCTTCTAATGACATGTTTAATGTGGCCACTGTAGATGTTCTGCTCCTGCATCTGTTCTGCATTACTCCTGCTGATGATGTGTTTGTACTTCACTTCCATACTGTGGATCAATCTAGTCAGCAGAATAATTGTTAATTAAGGCAGTTCAGTTTTGTTTGCACAACATTTTAACATGTTGGATATTTTAGAAATTCAACTTTTACTCCTACACCCGAGCAATAAATTCAGCCATCAGAGGGGCTGAGAGATCAACGAACATTTGTTTTACTTTGATTCTACAATCATTTCTTTGTAATTATCACATCATGGAGCGAAGAGGGTGAACTGGAAACACTGTCCGTCCATCGCCTGAGCTACAGTAGATAACTTGAATTCAAGATATAAGTGAGGTACACAAATCCATCTTAGTGTGGCTACATCTAGAAATAAGAAGTTATTTTCAAAATTTGGTTGCCACATCAAAATCCATATATACATATATATATATATATATATA